TGCCTTCAAGGAATCTTTTACTATTAATAAGTGATTCATCAAAAAAATAACAATAATTCAACCCTGGTTACTGAGAAGAAAATCCCCTAGAAAAACAATACCTGCTCCTGTATAATAACAGGTTTGTCCAAATGAATGACCATAAAAAAAGGTTTCCTTAACAAGATATTGCATTAGAAACATCTAATGATGGATACAAGCAGGGAAGTCTCTGAAAACATTCATAACATACTTGGTGCAAAACAAACTTAGGAGAATAGTGTTGGGCTTATTCTAAAGGTCATCTTGAACACTATCATGTCATAATTGAATCAACCAGAGGCTACATAAGATAAAAATTACAAAGAGTCAAGAAAACATCATTAGAGTTTTGAGCCACAGACCACTTATAGAGATTTTTAGAGAGACCATATCATCAGCCACTGTTGTTCTTAAGAAAATAGCTAAAGAACAATGCACTAAAGAAGTAATGTACTGAACCCCATTATAGCTGCGATGTACTCACTGCACACGACTTCACTGATGAAGAAAATGCATGATGATTTAAAGTTTGTTGCAGAATATTTAAACAAGTCAATGTAATACTGGAATGAATACATTATATTTAGATTTCACACATAAATGAACTATTTGTCACTGCAAACATTATCATTTGAAAAGTAGTGGCACTGCACATCACCCTAGAAATGCTACACCAAAAGTAAAGCTTTGAGGAATCCGCATCATGTTGTCAGGTAGCTTCTCTGCATAAGGTACTGGAAGACTGAAAAAATTAAGGCAACTGCTTTGTGCATTTACTTAATCATATTTAGTTACTTTAAGACAATTGTTTTATGTCCTATCCTGCTAACATGAAACAATTGTGTTAAAGTAACTACATATGATTAAGTAAATGCCAAAAGCAGTTGCATTATGAAGAGAAATGTACAGAGACAATCTTGATAAGAATTTAAAAATTAAAAGGAAGGGTCCCAAATACAGGGCCAAGTAAACTCATGATAGTTTTCAGATTGAGAAAGGAAAAGTGCTAGAATGACCAGAAAACCAGTCTGAATTCAGCTGAAAATAGATCAAAATGCCATTTCTGCTAGGATACTATAAGACACACAGAGCCACTATACTGTTGGCCAGGAGAGGACATGATAAAATAGATCATGTAGGCAATATGTTTTAGTCTGTGAAAAAGACTAACAGAAAGAAAATATAACAAAAAACATCATTAAATAAACTTACAGGACTCTCAGATGCCTCAGTCCTGCAAAATCCCCTTTGGCGATTTTTGTGAGATTGTTTGCGTTCAGATCCCTAGACATTTAAAAAAAGGAAGAAACAAAGTGTTAAAATACATGAACTCAAACAGACTTAGTTTCTGTTGGTTTGTCTGTTTTTTATGCAATCTTAATTGTCATTTGAGCTTAAACTAGACAATAAAAAATAAATGGAGAAGGTTCTGGTGCAGTGAAACTGTTCAAACAAGTTCCATCACAGGGACTCCGCTGGTAAAACGAGGCCTGTTTGAGTCAAAGCCCACTTGTCCAAATCCGTTTTTGATTAACTCGCTGGTTTCCACACAAACCGACGTGGTTGACAGAGGCTCTGTTAGTGCAACAGTGCGAAACCACCAGCAAGACCACAGCGGCACCCCCCAACCCTCAACACTGGAAGAAATTATTCTGAATGGCTTAATAAAATATATATATATGTATTTATCAGCTTGGAAATCTTGTGCGTTTCATTGTATTTGAAAGGAATTATATAAAGCCCTGTTATTTAGATGTTTTGGAAACATTTGCTTAATTTTCTATCCTTTTGGATAATTATATTATTTAGCATCCTTTTGGTTTGCTTACTATAAATTGATTTAATATAGTTTAAAAAAAGAATAATAACCTGTAAACAAACTGTAAGAAATCAGATTTATTAGGTTAAATCCTTTCTATATCATAAATAGTGTAATTATAATTTTGTTTTTAAAATATTTAATCATAAGGGAGCTGGTTTCCCTAAACTTACAGTCTCTCTGTGTTCCTGGGGATGTTCCTGGGGACGCTGCGCAGTCCCTGGCCGTGACAGTCCACTGTGGTCCCAGTGCAGGAGCATGGAGGGGGGCACGGCTGACCGTCCGCTTTGCTCAACAGGACCAGGAGCAGAGCGGTCCCCAGCAGCAGTAGCCTCGGTTCAGTCTCCCAGGAACGGACAAGGCCAACAGAGCGCACTAATCCCACCATGTCTGCGGCGCAATGATCAGCCGATACGAGACCCGTAAAATACAAAGAGAAGCTTCGGAGTTTCCGAAGCAGGTTACCAAACTCCGCAAGCAACGGGATGCCCTCTGTTTCTTTTATGTTTGTTCGTGTCCTTCCTGTTTATGTTAGTTTTGCTAAGAGAAGAAAAACTAGGTTCAGTTTTAACATCTGGGTCCTCTCAGAGCGTCTGAAGTAATAGTTTGATTCCGATAGAGATGAACCGGCTGTGTGGCTGCGCTACAGCGGCGCAAACTTCCACATGTCCCCGGCATGCGGTGCCCAGAATCCTCCTGGGTTAGTGCGTCTTTACCGGGGAAATCGGCTGCTCCTTGATCTGATCCAGGTGCTTTCCTTGAGCGCGTTAACGCAAACTCCAGGTATATTTGGATATTAATTCACAGCACGCCTCCTGCGCAGCAGCTGCGCCAGGTTCTTCTTCAAAACTCTGCAGTGGTGAAGATATTCAGGTTCCGACTGAATGGAAGATCGATTAGAAGTAGAAAGAGTAGCAAAAACACGGCGAGAGACCAGAGCGCAATACTATATTCAAACTCTGTGTGGTGCGTCAAAGCGCTGCTCTTTGTAGTGTGAGAGGAGAAAGGCAAGCAGACCGGAGAGGGCACGTCTACTGCGTCTGTGGCATCTCTCCCTCTCTCTCCCCCCCTCTCTCTCTTTTCCTCGCGCGCTGCCTGGCTCCCATACACACAAACACGCGCGCGCACTCTCTGCGTATTCCTTCAAGGTGGAGGTTTCAATCTGGCTGTCGGTCAAACAGCAACAGTTTGACCTCGGAAGAGGACTTATTCCCACTGCAGATTCTAGTCACCTGCAACATGTCATTTAGAAGGAAATAAATATACTTTACAAAATGTGGATTTTGCACCCTACTATTAAAGGATGGACAGGACAGTGTGTGTGTGAACAAAAACATATTTTTGTGTGACCAAGGTTTGCTCTCCAAATACTTGTTGACTGTTGCTCAAATACTCGTTGATACAGAAAATAAGTAAGTGCATACAATCAGTGTAGTAGCCTATCTACACTAATCACAATCTAAGTCTACACTAATCAAGCTGCCCCAACAGGAAAATGAATGAGTTCAAAGTCTATATTTTCCAAAAAAACATCATTGTAGACAGATTAGATTTCCCTAATGCCCTTGCTAATTAAAAATATGCAAATATTTACACACCCATGCATAATTTACTTCTAATCCATCTAAATTTGATGTATATTGGACAAATTCTTTAGGCTTTGAGTTTCAGGGATTCATCTCATCTATTGGGTGTTCGACATGTCGGTCTTTGTGACA